AAATCAAACTAAAACTGTATGGGGAGTAGCATTTTCAGGTATTATTCCCTTCATGTATAGTAGACATGGTAACACCGATCATCAAATCTTTCACCAAAAATTAGACTTAAGGTCAAGTCTAATCATGTAACAAGTTTATATTTAAATCAGACCAAAACTGCTAGTATTTTGAAAGAATTCCACATATTATTCTATTTTCATTATTCATTGCAAAATTGTTCATCGTAATCAATAATCGATTAAGAAAATCGCGAATCTTTTTGTAGAGTATGTGAGACAAATTTTATTGAAATCTGACCAAAGCCATAAGAGGAGAGGCAATTTGAAGGAATTTCATAGAAATTTCTATTTCATGACAACAGTGTTGTTCAAAGAAATCAAAATTTGATTTATGAAATTTTATGAAATTATACATCTTGAAATAATCGTCTTGTATACCAAGTTTTTATTAAAATCATACCAAACTGTGAAAAAAAGAAGAGCAGGGTTTTGGAAGAATTTCACAGATTTTTAAAATATTTTTATGAAGAAAGGCGTTTCAAAAAATGTTTCAGTTAAACATAAAGGTATTTTATAGCCCACACCCTCTTGTCAGAAAAAATGGCTTCTACATAGTTTAATTGTTGTTATAAGCAGAAAAAGAATACAGAGATTTTCTGTTCTCAAGTTAGGCTGAAAAAGGTAAAGTCATTCTTAATAAACATGTCACAGATAAGAAATTTCATATCAGTCCATTAAAACAAAACATTCTTTTTTGCCTTATGCTCGCTAGGTTTAAGCATTCGAATATCTTTATCTCTTAGAAATCTGTTTATAATTAATATCATATACAGAAGATGACCTGCTATAGTAGTTCATGAACTCTTACAAAATATTTTCTGAAACTTTTACAAGAATGCGCGTTTACATAGGTCAAACACCAGGAGCAAGAAATCCAATATCTAAAAGACTTTTGAAGTGAATGTCCGAGGAAACGATTTGTCCGGTTATTTGCCAAGTGATGAAACAGTAATTTGCAATTAAAGATAGTTTTTGCTTCGGTGATCCTCAAAACCTAATAAATACATGTATACCTGATTAAGAATAGTTCATTCCTAAGTATTGATTTTAAAGAATTATTGCATTACTTTCATATTGTCTTTTGTTTCGCTTTATTTAGTTTTCATACATGTAATTTCTATTCAGTATACATTGTATTTGATTACCTTATTACATGTATTTCTACTCTCAACCCTTCAACCAAACGCTGGTGTTGTAACAACTATTATAATAACGCCCACTATTGAAATAATTGTTTCAAAATTGGTGGAGAATGCATTTCAAAACCAATACCACATTTCAGCCACTATTGAAAAACGCCTACACAGTACTATTGACATAATTATTTCAATAGTGAACTTTATGTAAATTGTGGTTGCAACCACTATTAATATAATGCACATTACTGAAAAATATAATGTTTTAATACCTTTTCACCACATGAATACCCCTCTCATATACATTTGAGATAAGGAATCTGATGAGGATTATAATAATCACGACAAAATCGGGGAACATTAAATCTTAACTAATCTTTGATATAGATTTATACATGAATATGTGCACTACGTAGACAACAGAGACATGGGCAACATTGCTAACCTTTGTCCTTGTTGTTAACATAATGAACAAGTAATCCTCATATCTATTTCATTAGTGGATATTATTTCAATAGTGGTTTCAACTTTGTGTTGGTTTTGAAATGCATTCTCAACCACTGATGAAATAATTATTTCAAAAGTGATCCTTATTTCAATAGTGGTTGCGATGCCATTCTCCAAAACGAGTTTATTCCAGTCGGAGAGGTTGCGATGACGTCATGTAATTCTTCACATGAATTGACCTGGCAGGAATTTCAGTGAAGCAGGGTGGGTCTCCTGTCAAAGAAGTAACATAGGATGACCTTCTGTGCCCGGATTGTATTGGTTGCCATTTTAGACAGTAATACAGTTTTCCTGAAAATAGAGTTAATGTTGTAATATGTAATATTGTTAAAATTGCGCTTGAATATTAAATATACAACTTTACTTGTTCAAATTTTAACCCTGCAATGTATTACTTATATATTTACCCCCATTAGTTTATGAGTATGTATATTTGGGGGGAAGACATGCATACTCAAAAATTTAAAACAATTAAAAAATGACCTAGCTTATATTGAAGTCATAAAAGATAATTTAAATTGTTTCCAACTATCAGAGATTACCAATTCATGCATGTATGGGAACAAAATTGGTTTATCATTATACATTCTTTTAATTATATATATATTTACATTTTGTGTAATTTTCTTTATGTATAACACACACGAAACCTTCAATTTGTCGGCACGATACGAAATCCAAAAATAAGAATTCAATAGAGGATATCTATATTGTTTGACTTTATATTTGCTTTATCCAACGAGGCTTGCCAAGCGAATATAGACCATTTCAACGAGTTGGATAGAGCAAATATAATATCACATAATTATAGATGTTCAGTTTATCTCATACGATTTTAGTTTTTTACAAAACTTCGAGATAATCCCTTTTAAGCTATGTTGTTTGATTTCTACCCAAATTGATATGACATGTAAATTGATGACGTCACACTGTTGACGTTGACATGTCGAAAGAAAGTTAGTGTATTTGTAGATACAAAATATGATCTTGGAAGATTGGAATGATATTTGCTGTGTGTTTGTGAAAATCTTTTGAAGATTTATTTCATACAAAATTTTGACTGGAATTTCCACCTCAAAATTGAAATAACGTTGAACGACCGATGCATTAAGCACATTGACGCCATTGCCAAAGTGAAGCCATCCAGTTTTACCATTTAGTGAAAAAGACTAAGGTAGTTGCTAGCGTTCGAGAACGCTAGCAAACATTCCGTCAAATTTTGGTGATTGCGGCTGAGAACTCTATTGGTCCAGTTTCTTATGGAAACGTTCGTCTGAAAGTATTCTCTTGGCCTCTGCCATGTATACGTCTGTTTATCAAGCACTACTAGTGTAGATCCTTTGTCTGCTTTCTTGATTATTATTATGTCATTCCAATTCTTCAAGAATTAATAAGAGTCTCTCTTCCTTCATTAATTGTCAGGGGCTTTGTTTGGCTCGGAAAGGGGTTTCTCTATGTCTGACTCCACTACGTCAATGTACGACTCAAGAGCTCCATATTTGCCATTATAGAACAGAATATTTCTGAACCATTGGTTTATTTTACTGAATTGATTACTGATATAGGAAGACAGTGCTGCACTGGATGTAGAATTCCAGTTGCCTTTGGGCTTGTAGAGTTTATATTTCTTTATGTTGTGCAGTTGTGGCTTGGAAGAGTCATATGAGTCATCATCGGAGTCGGGGTTTTTTCCTAGAAAATGCTTCTTTAGTCGCAATCTACGAAAGAATGCTAGCGTGTTTTTGCAAACAATGTCATTATAATGACCATAGAATTTTCGAAATGCTGACTTTAAACGAGTGTTGAAATCCCTGGAACATCAACTTATTTGTCAGAGGCCTGCTTAGGTTTAAGAATGTGTTTTTGCCCCATTCACGATTTGTATTGTTCATAGGATTTTAGATAGATCAAGGTTAGTTATCTTCACCTTTCTCATTTGAAGATCTTTATAATTTTTAGCTGTTTAATGATTCTAAACATATTCGTGGGGTATATTTTAAGTAATTTCGGTATATTCTTAGTGTTGTGTGAACTTGTAACAAACATTTCTTAAAATTAATTCACTATTGTAATAAGCCTATATATTGGGAAGTAGAAGTACATGTTTTCTGTTAAAGCAGTGGTTTTTCCATAACTATCATATTAATGACGTGTTTATCGTTCGTTAACATTTCTGCAACAGGTCAAGGCGTTGGTTGTTTATTATTGTCATAGATGCCAGCAGGCAGACTTCTTTACCAAGAATGGATGTTTTGATTCAATGTATCCCTCTGAACTCGAAATAAATGATATCACAGAGTCTGATACATCTGTTAAAAATTGTATTTAGATATTTTACTACAATAAGACGTTTTTGGTAATCTAACAACAAAACTTTATGCTAAACGTGATGACTTTAACTTTTCTATTGTCAACTTCCCTTATTTATGTACCAATATACCCTTATCACCTAATTCGTTACGTAAGCATGCAGGTAGTACGTACGAACAATTTCTAAAGGGAGGCAAGCTAACGACAAAGTTGATGAAACAAGGATATCAACAGTCTCGTTAAAAGTCAACATTTTGCAAATTCTATGGTCGATACAATCACATAGTCAGCAAATACAATCTATCATTAAGTCGAATGCTGACTGACGTTTTTCATACAAATTGTTAGGCCATTATTTACAAACTGAACTGTCTATGGATTTTTCCGTTTGCACGATCATGACAATGAGCAGATAGCGGATGTAACCGGTCGACAGGGGATGCTTACTCCCCCGATGGCACCTGATCCCACCTCTTATGTTTGCTCTGTTCCAAATAGTATTGTTTCAATGGACTTTTGAGCTTGATTACTGTTCGTTATCTCTCTATTTAAATTGAAAAAAAGTTTGGTTCAACTATTGAATTTTGTATTGAAGAACTACAAATTTAATCAAACTACTAGTATTCGAAAGACAGGGATTTCCAAGTACGTGGTGCGCCTTAAATGATAATAAAATAATTGGGTCAAAGATTAAAGATAAGTTTTATAACACTTTACCCTAACTTACGAGTGCATTTTATTGTCTTGTTTCCGTTATGTATATTTTTTCATATTTCTTTCTTGGACCGTGAGTTTTGATCCCATTCGTGCGGATGATATTCTCGAAGAACTACATAAACTTCGAGGAATCGTTTTGAAAAACACTGACATGTTACGCGTTCTTGAAGAAAAGGTCAGTAATCAAGATCAACAAATCCAACTTCTTCAAAACTTCAAAAACAGCTTGCAAGATCTGAGGCCGAAAAACAGAAAATATCAAAAAGATTAATGACTGCAGAAGAAAAACTAAATTCTGAAGGAGAGGTCATAGGATTACTTCGTAAAGAGAAATCCCATCTCCACGACAATGCTACTACTGACCATTCGAAAATAGAAAGAAAAGAAACTAAAGCTCGCAGAGGTATGTTAAATGTATAATTAAAATACAATTTAAAATGTATGTTGTTTATAACTTTAATAAAACATTCCTGGCAACATATCTCAAAGTTGACGGCTATAATTGAAACATGCACCCTCAAAGTGTATGATTTACGAAAAGAAAGTAAATTAATTGTGAATCATTTTATAATAACAATTTAGTATATGGTATGCCTATTACATTCTGAGATAAGAACTTTTTCAGCAATATCTGGTGTCGTTGCCTTCTATGCCTACATGAGACATACAGAAGTAAACCCTGGACCCCACCATACACTGATATTTGACGTCCCTGTTACAAATGTCGGCGGGGGATACAATCATTACAGCGGTACATTCACTGTTCCTTCTGCAGGGGTATATGTATTCTCTTGGACAATTGCTTGCTCTAATGGTGGATATATTTACTCCGAAATTGTAGTCAATGCTGATGATATTGGAGGAATTTTAACAAATTGTGACACTAGCAAAGGTCGACTCTCAACTACAGGTCTAGTAGTGAAAGAGATGAACGCGGGGGATGTGCATGTCCGCACGGCACCTCCTCCTGGCCCTGTTGGTGATATTGAATCCCTCACTCCACATGAGAGAACCTCATTCAGTGGGTGGAAACTTGTGTAGCAGATGTTTTAGTGTAAGGAAAACAAATTCACTAAAACAAAGTCTTGAAAAAAATTCAAATAAATATTTAAACAGTTGAATTGAATAAATCTATAATAATTTATTAAACTTCGAAATAGAATTGCTTTGATCAGAGAATTACTTTATTTCCAAACTTTCTCACTAATTATCATTAGACGAAGGAGATTAAAAAAAATCGGAGACCAAAGCTACCAAAAGAAGAGGGGATCGTACTTTAATAGGGTGTCGTTATTTGAAATCTGATATATATTTTCATAAACAATGAAAGAGTCTTCTGGCAAATTTAAAAAAAAAAACCTGGGTAAAAACAATCTTCATTGTGGGGTATAAAGGAAAGAAACATATCTACACTCTCACTTGTATTGCTTTAATGGACTTTTGAGCATTATCACTGTTCGTTATCTTATCAATGTATCTCTGCTTGTGGACAGTCTGTCCACAAGGATACTTGTCGTTTGGTGCCTAAGCAATCATGGGTAAGGTACAGAATAACGAAAATGTACTAGCTGATACATCGCCAAGTATGATAAAGGTGTCAATCTTTTGAGTACATAAGGGACATAGACTCTAAGAGTTCAATCAGATCATCCTTCAGAATATTGAACATATGTCGTATGTGCAGTCGTCAGTTTTGGTATTTATCTAACAATTCATACAAAAGATTGTACGGTTTCAGTAAGAGATATACTTGCATTTGATGATTCCTTTTCGGACCCCATGCCCTTTATTTCTAAATGTTCTGCAAAAAAACTGCAAACGTGATATTTTGATCACAAAATACGATATATAAGTAATATCACTGGACAAAGGTAATATACCAAATCGTCCTAAGACCTAAAGTGCAAATCTAATGTTGACTACGGAATAGAATGTACCTTATGTTGTTGAAACCAAGGGTTCACTAAAAAAAATCATCATACTATACACAGCAAAATGTGCCACGTACGTATCACGTACGTTAAACGTATGTGATATGTACGTGACTTCACGTACGCATCACATGAAAAAAGCACCACGTATGTTAAACGTACGTTTTCACACGTATGAATGTCATGCGTGACACGTACGTTAAACATACGTATTGACTACCATACGTTACACACATGTTGCACACATACGTTATTCATATGGTTCACGTATGAATAACGTACATGCAACGTGTGTGTAACGTATGTTTTTAGAAACATGCGTTTAACATGTTTGTTAAATGCACCGCTCATATGATTAATGTATAAGTACCATATGCCAAACCATGGTTAAACATATGTTTTGACCACCGAACATTCTTTTTCACATATATATTGTAAACATACGTGAAACAAAAATGATGTGCAATTAAAATATTCATTTCATGCATTTGACATAATTTTCTTCATGGGCTTATTTTCTTTTCATCTGTTGAATGATCCACATTTTGAAGGTATACATATCTGGATATCCTTCACCTCAAATTTCCTGATCCTAATTGCTCTTTAGGCAATCACAACAAAAGACATATTCAAATTTAAGCCAAATTTAATGTTGAGATGTTAACATCAATTCATTCTTCTGCAATTCCCTTTCATCTGTAAAGAAAAAGAAAATATTAAATGAATTTGCATATGGAAAAACACATAGTTTTTTTTCAGAACATTATTATTTTCTACATATAACTCCTGGTTGATTCCCTTTAGAACTAAACTAGAACTGTCCAATATGGACAAATACCCCCCAATGGGTTTTTCAGAGAAGATGCCAAGTCACTGATACTAGTATTTTAGGATCTAAAAGATGTTCAAAAATTGTTTATACATTTAGAGAGAAAATTTACCGGTAATTGCTTATTATATTTTTTTAATGAATGAAACTTTGGCATAGCCTAGTAAAACAGCAATACTAATAATAATATTGTTTTTTATTACATTGAAAAATTAATAACAATTTTTCAAGTATTTCTCTGTTGGAAAGTATGGATGCATCATTTATCCATTTTTTCTACAGTATGTGACTATAGGTCAGGATCATGACACACCCTCAGGTCATAAACAATCTTTGTGTGAAGTGGATACTCCCAACATCCAAAATTATTCTCCATAGGAAAGATACGGATTGAACACGAATTATGAACTTTTTCTGTCAGTGACCTTGAACTTGTCCAAATGACCTTGGGTCAAGGTCATGACACACCTTCAGGTCATAAGCAATCTTTGTGTAAACACATATTATGATTTTTTTTCTGTCAGCGACCTTGAACTTGCCCAAATGACCTTAGGTCAAGGTGATGACACACCCGCAGGCCATAAGAAATATTAATATAACATATGGTTTTGTTGTTCTTGAGCAGAAATATTTTAAAAAATTTTCCCTACATATGCCTTTGTAAAAACTTGATCCCCAATTGTGGCCTCTCCCTACCCCAGGGTTCATGATTTGAACAAAATTGAATCTACACTACCTGATGATGCTTTCATATAAACATGACTAATCATGGCTTTTCTGTTCTTGAGAAAAAGATTTTTTCCTATATATTCTTATGTAAAACTTTGATCTCCCATTATGGTCCAATCCTATCCCCAGAGGATCATAATTTAAACAAATTTGAATCTACACAGCCTGAGGATGCTTCCATTTCAAAATGACTACTCATGGCTTTGCTATTCTTGAGAAGAAGAATTTTAAAGTTTTTTCCCTATGTATTATTATGTAAAACATTGATCCCCCACTGTGACCCCTCCCTACCCCTGGGGGTCATGATTTGAACAAACTTGAATCTACACTACTTGATGATGCTTCCTTATCAATATGACTAAACAAGGCTTTGCTGTTCTTGAGAAGAAGATTTTTTAAGATTTTTTCTTATATATTCCTATGTAAAACTTTGATCCCCCATTGTGGCCCCAACCTACCCCCGGGGCTCATGATTTAAACAAATTTGAATTTACACTTTGACATACAAGGTTTCCTATAAGTTTCAACTTTTTTGGCCCAGTGGTTCTTGAGAAGAAGATTTTTAAAACATCCCACTAAATTTTCACTATTTCTTAATTATCTCCCTTTTTTTGAGGGTGTGGCCCTTTATTTGAACAAACTTGAATCCCCTTTACCCAAGGATGGTTTGTGGCAAGTTTGGTTGAAATAGGCCAGTGGTTCTGGAGAAGAAGTCAAAAATGTGAAAGTTTACAGACAGACGGACAGCTAGACAGACAGACAGACAACAGACAAAATGTGATCAGCAAAATCTCACTTGAGCTTTCAGCTCAGGTGAGCTAAAACAGATAGCAATAGGTCATGACTGACTCAGGTTATCTAATTAGTTATAACATTTTTTTGTGATTACATGTAAGTCAGTAAGTCAGCTCAGGTGCAAAATATTGCTTATCACTGATATAAATACAACAGTAAAATTTTAGACATAACCCTATGTCTGACAATTAAATTCTATATAATAATAGAACTTACCCTCAGCATAAATCTTTCATAGCTTGGCATGGACCTATATGTTTTTGTGTCTGTTCGAAGTGTATATATACTTTTTGTCCTTGGGGTAAAAAAGAAAATATATGTTAAAAAAAATTGCATTTCAGACTTGTAAAGCAAAACAAACGATATGAAAAATTACTTATTTTACTGATAACATTTAACATTTTCTCCTCTTGTGATTGAAATGTATTGCACCTCATTACATGATATTATATGTATTAAATTGCAAGTATAAAAGCAATGGGATCAGAAAATTTGATTTCTTTTTTAAAGGTGCTTGGACACAGATTTGAAGTTAACATTTTCTCAAATTTTCTGCATAATTTCATGACTTATATGTTGCTATAGCATTTCATACTAAAATATAATAAAAATCTTATTTCATCTCGAAGTTATTGAAACTTCAAATTTCTGGACGCGTTTGATTGACACATCCTTGCACTTTCACAAATTTTAATTCTATTCTTAATACTTAAAAAAAGTGGCAATTTTGTTGTGTATTAATGAAAAATATTAAAACTATAATCCAGAAAAATTCAGAGTAGAAATGTTCAAAAGCAAAATCCACTCACAGTATTGTCAGTCCGTGCTCAGTGGTGTGTGCAGACTTTAAAAATTGAACACACCCGGTGAATCGTAAACATTAACAATAACAGAGCTCATGCCCTGTTTACAAAAACAGTTTATGTTTCACGGATGTATTCAATTTGTTAAACTCTGTACACAACACTGAGCACGGGCTGACGATATTAGTGAGGGGGTTTGCTTTCGCACATTTCTACTCTGAATTTTCTGGATTATAGATGTAATGTTTTTCATTAATACACTAAAAAATAGCTTCTTTTCTTAAATATTAAGGATAAAGATAAAATTTGTGAAAGTGCAAGGATGTGTTAACCAAACGCGTCCAGGAATTCGTAGTTCCAATAATTTCCAGATAAAATAAGTTTTTAATTATATTTTCGTGTGAAATGCTATTTCAATATATAAGTCGTGATATTATACAGAAAATTTGAGAAAATATTAACTTCAAATCTGTGTCTATGCACCTTTAAGAGTATTACCATAATGCTGATTAAACTTTCAGAATCTGTTTTTGAAGTCCAGACTTGGCATTTAGGTGTTTACATAGGAGATGAGCTTCAGCCACCATCCTGGAGTGTACATTTAAAATCACATAAAAAAAATCACAATCTCAAAATACATTATTTATATTCATAAGGACGTACTGTATGAAAAAGACATCTGAAAAATAAGTGTTACACCCTTATTGCCCTAAAAGATAATTTATATTTCCTCAACATGTTTTGTAAAGAAATACATTGGGTGAGTGGAACTTTTTCCATCAAGAGTTTTATTGCATCTTATTGGTAGGCTAAAAAAAATCTTACAATAAATATTTTTTTATAACAGTATGTTTTATACCTCACCTTAATTTTGATATAATGTGCCAGTGTTGATTCACACATGGGCTGGGGTGCTGACCAAGACAGTTGACTGCGTCAATATTTTCTTACTTA